TGTCATGGTTCATTCCCTGCTGCTCAATTTTTCAGAATTACCAGGAAAATGACAATCAGATACGAAGTATTCATCCTGTGCAAAGTACCATGGGTTCAAAATAGCTTCCTCTTCTGGAATGGATCAGAATAACAAGTTTGCATAACTAGCAGTATTTAACAAATATATGACACTATGTTGGTCACTGAAATGTAATAACAATTATATATACAAGATTGTCTATCTATGTAAAGTAATTTTTCCGTGTTTTTTAAGGGCTAGATGATTTCTTTTAAATATCTTTACAAATTAATTTTACAGTATGCATTGAAAAAATGTTCAAAAAATGATTCTTCCCTGCAGCACCTCTTCAGGTCATTCATGAGAATGTCCTTTCATTTCTGTGGGAGCTGGGCAGGGAGGCAAAAGTGGGCTGGTGGGCTTTAATGGACAGCATCACAGGATAACTGAGGTAAGCACTTCTGATGATGACTGTGATCTATGCAATGCTGGATGTTCACAGTTTCCTTGCAGTTACTGTCTGCAGTTCAGGAGCTGCAGCCATTTGCACTTTTTCAGAATGAGGGGAGCTGGGATTTACTGAAGGGAAAGGATTTGTTCCAAGCCAAAGAGCAAATGTTACTATTGTCTGTGCTGCCCCTGTCCCCAGTCTGTCCATTTCCTCTCACTAAATCTCTGCCTGTCCCCTGCTGCAGGAAGCAATCAGTCCCACAGCTGGAATTTGGCCAGGAGACTGTGGCTAACACTCCCACCCTATTTTTTACGTAAACTTGATTTATGACTTTGATCTTACTTTAAATAATTTAAAAATTAAATAATTCATACATTATCTGTCACTTTCCAAGGCTCCTTCCTTTGTTCTTAGTGTTCTCTTCTGCTTTTTCCCATCTCCCTGACCCTTTTTGGCCTCTGCATGTTTCCTTTTGTTTGCGGTGGGTCAACAGACAGCTGCTAAGTACTTGCTACTTCCTTCACAGAGAGAAGAGTTGGAGGAACTTTTGCCAGTGGTGCATATTTGGGCTTGGACTGTACTACTATAGTTCACAGTCTGCTTTTACTTTAACTGCTCGTGATTTCAGGCTTGGCCACCCTATGGGGTCTAAGAAGATGCTTTGTACCGGATGGAATATGTGCCTCATCTGGCAGCAGAGCAAAGCTGGTGCTATTCAGCATCAGCCTCATCCCCATCCCCAGGCTGAGTTCAGACCTGTACCTCAAGCTGTCTTCAGGGAGACTACAGAAAGTTACCTACATCCAGCTGATGTGGATCCACAGTAACACGACATAAAAAGGGCTGGTGCTCTAAACAAGAGTGAGCTGAAATAATTAATTGCCTCATAAAAAAAAGAGAAGCTAGATGAATATGGGAAGATATTGCTGGGGGATAAAAAACAACCCAAACAAACTGAAACAAATTAGTAAAGGGGCTCTGGGAGCTTTGGATAGCCATGAAAGCTGACTTGCTCTGAGCTGCATACAGAAGAGGTGAGGTGGGTCTGATGTGGCTCTTTGCATTACTGAAACAGCTCACGGAGTTTGTGCCAAGCTTTGTCCTGTTGGTTGGTTTTTTTTTTTTTTTTTTTTGCAGGGAGCACATGATGGGGAGACAAAACACACACATAGAGGAGAAGAGGAGAATCCCCTTTGCTTCCTGGTTTTGTTGCCTCTGAAGCTGAGGCCATATGGCTACTGAATGTGAGGACTAGTGGCGTGGCCTACACAAGACTATCGCTGCTATCAAGGTTAAGGTTGCTTAAGCTGAGGCTTGGCAAAGAGCAGCAGTGGGGAGTGAACCATGACAAAGCCATTTGCTGAGCTGCAAAAGAAGGAACTTAAAGAGGAGCTTGGGCTCAGAGCAGTCTTGGTAGCACACTAACAACTGTCAGTCAAATACTAATGGACTGAGACCCCTGCCACTTCTCCCCAGAGATGCTGCTTAATTTGTAAATCCAGCGCTGCCTGGTAATATCTCAGACAACTGCACCATGAGGGTTTCTGCTGCACTGGTCACACTGACACGTAGAAACCTTTTTGTATGAGCTAATTCAGCCCCAGTGATATGGGTGGGCAGAGGATGCCTTTCTGGGGAGAAGCCCACTGCCCTGGGACAATGCAACCTCCTCCATGGCAATGGCCATTAGAAACAGCTTGTTAACCAGCAGTAGGACTGCTTGGGAGCTCTTTTATGGTGATGTCAGTCACTGCTGGATTGCAGTGGGATATCTGGGAGGACATAGCAAGAGTACAGTTCAGAAAGCCTATGTTTAATGGTAGTCCTGGCTGCAATGCGAAGCATTGAGGCAGTTCTTAAACTTGCACTATCATCAGGTCTGTGTGTAAAAACCCATGGAGGAATGGCATGAGAGAGAGCCATGTCCCTGAGGGAGACTGGAAAATAAACAAATCCGGTCATCATCTTCACTTGTAGATGGGGACATAAGTCTAGGAAATCAAATGACTCACCCAAGGTCACACAAGTTGCTGGTGGCAATGGCATCAGCTGTCACCACTGTCCTGCACTTGTGTTTTCATTTTTCCTTTTCTTGACTTGCCTTTGCTCTTAAACTTCAGTTTGGGCTGAATAAAACTGCCCTCGTCCTCTCCCCCTCTCCCAGTCACTCTCTCACTATCGATCTTTCCATCTCCTGCTGGCATTTACGAGGTGCCAATCACCCTGATATCTAAGAGCCAGCAGTCCAAGGTGGATTAATCAGGACCAAGGGAACGTCACACAGCTTCAGCTCTCTTTCCTTTCCTTTTGTGTGAGACTCTGAGATGAAGCAGATAGGAAGAGACATAGATAGGGATGCTGATTGAGAGACAGCATCTGAGCACGCTCTGGGTGTACAGGCACCACAAAGAAATGTGATCCCATCATTTAGAAAGCTCTGAAGTCTCCAGGGTAATTGGTATCACCAGCTTGTCATATCCTATGGTCCAAGATCTAAAATTTATTCTTTCCCCCTTATTTGCATACTTACCAGCAGGAAGAAAAAAAAAAAAAAAGAAAGAAAAAGAAAAAGAATATGGGTTCAATACTGTTTTCACAGAACTCAATAGGAAAAATATTCATTGGTTTCAAGGGAAGCAGGAGCCGACCCAGGAATTGTTCTCAGTTTTTCTTCAGAGATAAAACCTCACTCAAGTACCTATCCTCAAAATGGTATTGTCTAGTGAGAAATAGATGGAAGAACTTTTGTGGTATAAAGGTGCAGACCTCATCCTCTTTTGTATCTCTATAACTCTGGGCTGACTCTTTTATAATAGCAATTATAAGAATTACTCTAGATTAAAAATGAATGTAGCTAAGAAGAGCGCAGTTAAGAAGAGATGTCCAAAGTATGAGGACAGCAGTGTCCTTATTACCTTTCCAGCTGCCTGATCAATGCCTGTAGTGTAATTCTGCAGTCACATCTTCTGCCTGACAGCCTCTGCAGATGTGCGTCCTCAGCTGCCCGAGGGCTCCCTTCCTGTTTATTCCCTTAATACATGGGGGAACAAATGCTGCACCCACCTGGCAGGCTGCTGGCCACTGGCCAGGGCTCATGTGGGATTTACTGTCTTTTTCCCATCCTGCAGCTTTGTCTAGATAGGAGGACAGATAAACACAGCTGGGCTAGGGAGGGGGCAGCTCTTCAGTCTGTGAAGAGGAGAGCAGGAGACCAGGGAAGAGGCAGCTGAGGCCTCCATTGTCTTTGAGAATAACAAAAAGAACAGGGAAAAATAGAAGGAAAAAATGAAATTGCTTAATGAGAGAATAAAAAAAGCCCAGAATAGTACCAGGAGAGTGGGAGCATCTGTGAAGCTCCTACAGTATGTCCTCACGACTGTGCATGAGGGAAGAGCTGGGTTGTACCAAGTGCTCAGCAAAGCACATGGCACACAGGAAATAGTGGATATTTGTAGGCTATTTTTTATAAAAAGAACCTGTGGATGGGATGGGAAGTCCGTGATGCCAGTATATGACAATTAAATATACAGACAACACAGCACGGCATTGTGATCAATGTGGTAGAGGAACTACTGGTACGTTGGGGAGATTCTGGAGTTAGACCTGTGTTACCTAAGGCAAGTCTCACTGATTAAGGAAGATATTATTTTACAAAATAGGTTTCTTGCTCACATATCCAGTATGGAGCACAAGAGGGTCATATTTTATCACCAGATGGATGAAACGTCTAGGTATACTTTTTGCTGCCTGCAAATGTATAATCTGTGCCAGAAAAGATATCCAAAGTCACCTGATAGTATTATATCTGCCTGCTGTAGGGATCACTCTACTTTCTTCTAAAGTATGTGACAAAGGGACCAAGTTACCAAGTTGCTTGTCTTGTGGATCCTTTTTAATTGTAGCCTAAGTAAAGCCATTCATGCCAAAGGCATCAAAATCCGTGGTTATGCCAGGAATCCAGCTCCTTGTTCAGTCATGGGTTGTCCCAGAGGTCCAGGGGACAGCTTAGGAATGGATGCCTGATATAACAATACATACTGAATAGCTGAAGTGTTTTCCCAGTGTGCTTAAATCATATTGTTATGAGGAATCAGCGCTGTATGCGTGCTTTTATCTGCTTATCCATTTCCATATTGTATAGCTTGCTTCCTTGAACCTAAAAGAACTTCTATCGAGAGCTGCCATGTTATCCCATGATCACGCCAAAGTTACCCTCAAGTAACTTTGAGTTCAAATCAATCTGTGTGGCTGGTATCAGGGGAGAGCTATTTATGCCCTTTAAAACGTTCTCTGGGGCTGGATGGTACTGACATGGATCAGAGAACTCACATGAGCTAAATTCAGGGCCTATTTTATACAAATATTCAAAGGCTAGTTGTGTTTGCATTTGACAGCAATGGCTTAGATCCCACAAGAAGTGTCTTGCATGGGCCTGGTTGCTGGTTCCTCTTCTGCTCATCAGTTATCTCTCTGCTCACTTGTGTTATTGTGCAGTCTAGGTGCTCTTCCTCTTCATGTAAAAGTGCATGGAGCCAATGTCTATACTTACTGCCTGTGCATAGGCGCCATATGCTCCAAACTGGATGGCCATGGGGTTGAACATGCCCATTTGTCCCGCCATTTGCTGCATGCGCCTCATTGTACGCTCCTTGTCTGTATCTGCAAACTTCACCACCAGGCTTGAAGAGGCTCCCTGCAGGACAGAAAACAAAAGAGATATAGAAAAGGATTAGCCAGGAGATAGATATACACTGGCTCATGCAATCCATATGTCACACACAGATTTGATAGTGTAGGATCCTGCTGACGCTGGCATTTTTCCCACACAACCTCTCTGGCCTTCTGGTTTGGAGCTTTTGCAAGAGACTGAGAGTATAGGTAGGAAAGGACTCTGGAGGACTGTTCCTAGTGTCCTCCAAAGTTCACACTTCCAGGCTGTTATAAATATTCTCTCTGCAAAAGCTGTTGCCTTATTTTTTCAACCTTTAGAAAATCTTCTGGTCTGTTAGCTCTCATCAGAGGATGGGGATACGGACTCAGTTCAGGAAAATGTAGAAACCTTTGATGGATGTATATTGTGGGATTTTGAACTGACTTACTTTGATGGACTTTGCTCTGTGCGTTCTGGACCCCTGAGCCAGATCATCCTTTTACATTGTGCTGTGTTGCAACCTCCACGTTCAGTGAGAAAGCCCTGTTCTTAGAGGCAAGAATCAGTTTGCTGGATAGCGCACAAGCCCCATCAACAAGCAGAGTCTATTCAGCACTGTTAAAGCCAGGCCAGTTCACAATATTTGGGTTCTGTCTGTAGGCAATGCTAGTACAGAGCTACTGATGGTCATCAGAGCTGGCTGCAGAAGTCTGTGAAAAATGTAGAGCTTTTGGGAATGAACAAAATCCCTCACCTTCTCAAAATGAGATAAAAGATCAGTAACTGCAATTCTCAAATTTCTGGTAGGAGGTAGAGATGGGAAGAAATAGATCTGCTTAGGAAGGCAGGCACTGATATTGTTTTGGCTGGATTCAAGGACTTCCTCACTTCATGGGTTGCTTGATTCCCTACTCTGTGGTCCCCCTGGAGGAAGCCAGATGTGGGGAAGGGGGATTTGGCAGCAGCCCTGACAGCAGGCAGACAGTTGCCTCAGGAACTGGGCTGCCACCGGGCCTGGGGAGATGGGCAGGTGAGCTGTCAGAAGACTGACAAAAGAGAAGCTGAAATCATTATGCTCCCATGGTACACTTCCCTTTTGACATGCTGGTATTCTCTGATGGAAATAAAGTCAGCAGGGAGATGGCCAGCTCAGCCTCTGGCTATGGCAATGGGGAAACACCAGTTCTGTGCCAGAGGAACTGGTCTAGAGCATAATGTCATTTTTTTTCCAGCGGAGTGAGATTGGGTGGGACTGCATAGAGAGAGTGTACTTAACTTCCTTACATAACACATCTATGTACCTGCAACTGGAAAAAACAGTCTCTGGGAAAGCAGAGCTGGTCCGTATCAAACCAGCTTAGTAAACTGCAGCTACAGATGTACATATATGTATGTCCAAGTTTTGCATATTCAATAGTCTTTCCAGATTCTCAGTTATGAATAACAATTTGAGGAATAAACTTGCTGAAATAGAAAATAATCTAAGGCCATGCAATGAGTGATGTTCCTCTAGATTAGCAGCCTGCTCCAGGAAGAAGTGATTTTCTTTGGCAAAGAATCTTTTTGACCTGTTACTCTTTCTCTAATAAATCTATAACCCACTTGAACAATGTGGTGAAGAATAAGGGGTTGAAATAAGTGCTTCAGGAAAACAAAGGTAAGGAGAGATGAATGCTCTATTCAAGGGTGGAGAGCAGTCTTCAAAAGTTATAAGATTATAATATAATATAATTATTCTAAGAGCAAAACAGAACACAAGGGTGAAGGTGTGCTCAGGTGGCCAAGAGGGCCAACGGCATCCTGGCCTGCATTAAAAACAGTGTGGCCAGCAGAAGCAGGGAGGTGATCATCCCCCTCTACTCAGCACTGGTGAGGCTGCACCTCAAGTACTGTGTTCAGTTTTGGGCTCCTCACTACAGGAAAGATGTTGAGGTCCTGGAGCATGTCCAGAGAAGGGCAGCAAAACTGGTGAGGGGTCTGGAGCACAAGTCTTATGAGGAGCGGCTGAGGGAGCTGGGATTGTTCAGTCTGGACAAGAGGAGGCTCAGGGGAGACCTCAGTGCACTGTACAACTTCTTGAAGGGAGGTTGTGGTGAAGAGGGATTTGGCTTCTTCTCCCAGGCAACGAGCAGGACACAGGGCAATGGCCGCAAGTTGTATCAGAGGAGGTTTAGGTTGGACATAAGGAAGAACTTCTTCTCTCAGAGAGTGGTCAGGCAATGGAATGGCTGCCCAGGGAGGTGGTGGAGTGGCCGTCCCTGGCAGTGCTCAAGAGGCATCTGGATGACGTTCTGCGTGATGTGGCTTAGTGCTTGTTGTGGCAATGGTGATGAGGAGACGGTTGGACTGGATGATATTATAGGTCGTTTCGAACCTTGTGATTCTATGATTCTATGAAGGGAGAAGAAAAAGAAAACTAGCCAAGATTTTCCTGCATTTCTGCTCAAGGCTGGGCAACTTTTCATTTTTTTTACATCACATGATGTAGTTATTGATCCTTCCCCAAATCACACTCTTAATTGCAGCTCATCGACAAATGAATATTTTAATGCATACATTTCCTCCTAATTATCACCTGGACCAGTCCTTAATTAGATTTCAACACTCATTTAATTAACTGTGATCCAAGAGACTGTTTGGTAACCTGAATCTAATGATTTAAACCTATTTGTAGCTGTATTGGAGGGAGGCAATGGTCCACAGCAGATTGGGCTGTTCAAAGCTGCTGCTGTACAGCAGAGCCGCAGCATGGTTAGCACAACACAGAGGATTTTCAGACTGAGTAAGGGGAACAAGTATTTACCTCTGCAAATGGGTTTTGAAAATGTGACCTTTTCTAGTTAGCAGGATGGACAAATATGAATAAGTTGGTGTGTTTTTTTTTTTTCCTTCCTTTTTCTTTCTATCTCTATTTGCTCTGGAAGTCTTATGTCTGGAGTTGTACCTCAGGAAACTGCTGATCTCTCACATTTTTGAAAACCAAGCTATTATTGTAGATGGCATCATGAAAATATCGGTAACCTCCATATGAAATTCTTGTCCCTGGAGTGTTCTTCGCTCCTGATGTGAATTGTAGTGACTGCACAGCAGCCATTTGACCCAATAGGATCTAAGACTGCCTCTTATGAGATGTTTTTCTGGGTTGCCTGTCAGAGCAGGGCTTCGGGCCTCTTTGAACACCACTATCATAAACACAGGGCGGAAAGGCCATTGGCAAACAGAAACAAGCAAGCTTTGTAGCACATGCTACAAAGAGTAGAAAAGGGAGCTTTTCTGCTGCAATGAGATGTACACATATACAGTTTAAGACATGCAGCCAGTAGAGATGCTGCTCTGCTCTTGAATATGAAGTTTGACTTCGGGATTGATGTTTTCTGTATCTGATTCGTCATATGCAGCCCTTTCACATGGCCTGAAGGAAGTCTGTCAGTGAACTCTAGCAGGCCACGCAGTGCAGGACTTCTAGCAGAGGAGACAAACAATGCTTTTCTTCTAAAAGAGCTGGAAGACTGCTTTCAACTCCAGTGACTCCCCATAATCTACTGGATAACAGAAATATCACAGAATGGGCCCAATTTTCAATGGGGTAGAAACTGCAAAGCCCTTTGTGTGGACCACTTATTGCTTCCACGAGCAGTTGAACCATTGCGTAAATCAGCTGTTGTCCGCTGACAAAGGCAATAGGTCTTGTCTGCCTGGTCATTTATCAGTAATACATAAGCTTCCCTCTTGCACTCCAGTTGTTGTATTGGACACTACATTTCCACAACACCCACAAGAGTTACAGTAGGTAAGTCAACATTGCTTGAAATATACTTTGAGAGATGTGTTAATGTGCATTTTACTGAGGAAAAGACCTGTTTATTTCTCTGCCTTGCAGAACCACAGACAAAGGAGCCTTTTATGAAAGTGAGCATTCCTGCTGATACCTCTGCAATAGCCTACTTGGATTTATCATTTATCTCCCTTCCCATCAAATCAACCTCCTTTTTCAAGTGCTTTGATATCTACTGATGAAAAGAATAATATAAGGGCTAAGTATTATTATGCTTTCCCAATTTTGTCCTGGGCCAGCAACTCTACTTAATACGACTATCTTACTTCTGGTCCCCCTCCCGTGTGCGGTAATGAATTGCTCCCCTTAGTCAGCAGTCAGATGTTCTCTAGGCTGGCAGGGTGAGGAAAAAGATGGAGGAAAAATCACCCTGCACCACACTCACTTTGTAATCCCTAATCAGAGTCCTCTGTGGGAAAAACTAATTTCCCAACCTGTCTTGACTTGTGAAATAAAGTCATTCTTGAAAATGGGAACTTGACAGGTCACTTGTGAAATTTCATATTCAACTAAAAATAAAATATCCATCTATTGATATTTCATTTAAAGGCAAAGAAAAAACAAATCTTTTCCCTGGTTGTTGGGACTGGTTCCCATTAGTTATGGCTCTCCAAATGGAGAGTGTACACAAATTAACTACAGTGTTTTCAGAAGACCAAATAATGCTGCATAGCATGAGGGAAAGCTGCTTTCACCAGAACAATATTCATAGGAAAAGTTTTGTGAAAATATTCCCTTGCAGAATGTATGCCTGATTTTTCTTTAACTGCCAGCCCTATATGTCTTCTCTGACTCAGGTTACTTATCTCTAGAAATGGTTAGACATCTTTTGTTTGCAAAATTGATGAATTTGTACCGAATTCGCCAAAGCCATTCGAATCATGCTTCACTTTAAGCTTAATTAATGGCTCATTGGAGGTAGGCACATAAGCACCTCAATACTACAGAGGTTCCATATAAGCACTTTACTGCAGGAATGTCCATCTCATAGAAATGGACTTTTATCTCACGGTTGGCTCAAATGGTGCCATTTAAAGATTTTGGGCCAAAAATATTTGAAAATGGCTTGTTACATTGGAACTCTAGTGAATAAGGCTCTTCGGTGTAAGAGCTCTGATTGTGCAGATACCATTAAATACCACTGAAAACATCAGCCATGCACCAGGTAAAATACTTAAATTAATAAGTACTGCTGAATACTTCCCAA